GTGACCCCCACCTCTAAATAAATTATAAAAATATTAGCACAAGCCAAACACCTGAAAATGAGAAATGGCATAAGAGTACTCTCCCAGGGCAGTAATAATTTGTTTCAGCCTCATACACCAGAGCTAGTTTGGTGTACAGCCATGCGGTTGAACTGGGGTGACTTCAGGGGCACAGCGCAATCCAGGAGGGACCTGACTGTTGCTGAAGCTGCAGCTGCACCCCAGATAGCTGCCACAGTGCTTATGCACTGTATGTCCTTCCCTGATCGCAGATAAGAGGCCTGTGTTGAAATAAAGGGAGAAAATGGTCAACAAAAGGTTTGGGTGATGGTTTAAAAGCTTCCTTACACTGCTAAGAGCAAAAAGTAGGTTTTCTCTTATGTACAGATCAGCTTTAGTCAATGTGGTCATAATGCAGCTAGAATGAAAGAATAGGTATTGAGAAAGATAGAGGTAAAAATGAGTAAAAAATGCACCTTAGTTTTGCACAAGGGATAGTTTCTGAGGTTCACTTCTTTCTGTGGTGATACAGATTACCTCTTCTGCCTAGCTGAGGTGCATGGGAGCATTAGTACAAATGGCTGAAAAAAAATTAGGATGTCTACTTTTCTGTTTTGAAATGCAAATTCTTTTAAATTCCCCAGCTGCAGCTACACCAATTACTTCTGCCCCATAATCCAAGGAGCTATGCAATAGTGCAATGCAGAAACACGTTATCCCAACCTGGGCAAACCTCCTGTAGGACTGGACAAAATAGGTGAGCAAAAGTGGTTCCCCTCCTGCCCCTGCCAACATCTCCAAATCCCCTCACCAGTCCACCAGTCGTTTAAAAGACAGCAATGACATAGTCCTGCAGCTGCTGAGCTGCTTGTCACCGTGAGCTTGGAGGCGTTATAGTGCACTGCCATACCTTAAAGGTATCTTAAATTCTGCAGTTGCAGAAGATGAGACACAGCACAGAAAGAACAGTTGGTCAGACAGATGGGGAGGTGGAAAGAAGCAGAAATGGAGGGTAAACATCTTATTCCCAGCCACCTACCTAAATTCTGTTCAACTTCCTTTAAAATCCTTCTTATACACCTGGCTGTATACATTCTTATACACATGGGAAATGGGGTGCCTGTGCGGGGTGTCAAGTGCACAGAGCAGAGCCATCCTGGCAGAGCTTCTGCAGGGAAAGCCCTGCTCAGCCGGGAGGGGAGGCGAGGGGAGGGGGTGACCGAGTCGCTGTCTCCGCCTGCCGCAGGGAGCGTTCTGGACCAGAGCCTGGAGAGCCTGCTGCACCGCCTGCGCGGCCTCTGCGACAACATGGAGCCGGAGACCTTTCTGGACCACGAGATGGTGTTCCTGCTGAAGGGGCAGCAGGCCAGCCCCTTCGTGCTACGGGCACGGCGGTCCATGGACAAAAGCGGGATGCCTTGGCATTTGCGCTACCTGGGTCAGCCAGAAATAGGTGACAAGAGCCGCCACGCGCTGGTGCGCAACTGCGTAGACATTGCTACTTCAGACAACCTGACGGACTTTCTGGTGGAGATGGGCTTCCGCATGGACCACGAGTTTGTGGCCAAAGGGCATGTGTTCCGCAAGGGCATCATGAAGATCGTGGTGTACAAGATCTTCCGCATCCTAATGCCAGGAAACACAGAGAGCATTGAGCCACTCTCCCTCTCCTACCTGGTGGAGCTCAGCGTGGTAGCACCAGCAGGACAGGACGTTGTTTCTGATGACATGAGAAACTTTGCTGAGCAACTGAAGCCTCTAGTGCACCTGGAAAAAATTGACCCCAAAAGGCTAATGTGATTGAAAAACCGGGCAGTTAACGCATTGGTTTCTGTTAGTGTTGCTGAAGAGGGTCTTTCTCTAAAATTCCTTTTGAGGGCAAGTCAAAACAGGGAGGGGGAAATAAAGGGCTACATGTCAGTGTTTTGTCAGTTGCAGTTACTGAGCGTTTTTTCTTTCAGCTGTGGATGTGAACGGAAGTGGACACTTTAATGCCATTCAGAACATCAGTAAACACTAATAGTGATAGTTTTCCTTCTCCTGTTGGGGAGATACCTATTAGAAAGCATATTGTCTAACAGTCCAAAATGTCAGACTTAATGGAATTCATCCTTCAGTGTACCCACATCCTGATGCTGCTTGCTTTTTTAAAGCACCATTTCTGTATCCTACCTAGTCATGATTTTTTTTTTTCAAGTAATGCATGAAGTTAATAGTCTTTAGTGCAAGAGGAATTTAACACAAGCATAAACCCAGGAATTGCACAGTATAAAAGAGCAACTGCACCCCTGTTTACAATAGAGAAGTAAAGTAGTAGAGAATGTAGCAGGAACAGCTAGGACACAATATACTTTATAGTGCAACTTTTTCTGTTTGTTCTGTTCATACAATTTATCAATAATAACAATTGCAAGAGGTTTTCAAATCTTTTAATGGTCTTCCATATTTTTTACTGAAGTTGGGTATGGCAGTCTTAGTTAATGAGAAAGCAGTAAATTACATGGGGTGTTTATTGCTAGACTTCTCACACCTGACAGCACTATGGAAAATTGACACATTAAACAGTTAAGATCATCATCAGCTGCTAATTGAACTAATGATTTTGTTTAGCACCTCTCTTGATAGTAGGATGGTTAGTTGCCCTCCCTATATTTCAGTGATATTTGAATTAGGTTTGAGAGTTTTCAAATACAGTTCAGATAAAAAAAGGTTGGGAAAAACAACAAAGATAAAGTGTATTTAAATTTCTCAAGTTCTTTACAGAAGGCACGCATTTTACCCATTACTAAACTGTATCAACCCCTGTCAGAGATGTTGCTACCCTTTAGCACCACACAACTCTTTATGTAAACAGATAAAGGCAAAGACTGCTGCCACAAAAAGCTTCCAAAAAAGCCTTTTAAATTAACAGCTGCATTTTCAACACCAGAGTTTGGACAAGATAAGCCATGAGAGCTGGATTAGTGCCGAGATAAACCATGACAACTGGATTAGTGCTCACCGAGTGCAGTGTCTCAAGTGTTCCACTGATGCAGGGTCTACATACAGGGCATGGGGACAAGAAAATGAGCGTCGTCTGGAGAGCCCATTATGTTGAATACATCACACATATGACTGCTTAGTTACCTAGACTAGAAATATTTTCTGGAGAGTATGGACAGACCTATGATTCTTCTTTTAGTACTTGCCCTCATCAGACAGCACACTATCCCCACTATCCTGGCCCTCGACTGGATACTGTTTAGGATACTGTTATAGGGCGACACTCCAGGGGGTGAGGGGTAGGTCCTAGAGCTCTGCCTGTACTGAGAAGCTGAACTTCCTGGGTTGCACCTCAATTCTGTTGAAGTCCCACCCCAGTGGGTGGTAATCGCCAGGGCTGTTGTCATACCCAGTCACTATAACACTGCTTAGGAATTGCTTGCCGCAGACTTCCACAATTCATGGCTTCTCTCTCATGACATGAAATTTTAGAAAGAAGTCCAGTGGATCAGAAAAGTTGAACATTGTATGCCAGCTTTTCAAAGGGTAAGTACAAATATGAAGACACACAGAAAACAGTAAGCATGCAAGTCCTTCCTGTTGCATCTGAAAGGAATTTAGTTGGTAATTTACCTTCTGAGTATCTTTCTAAGTGGAGGGACAAATGAATCACAGAGTCTTAACGTTACTGTAATGGTGAGAGACATGAAAATACCACATGGAGTTTCAGGTAGATCAGCTAAAGCAAAAGGAGACTGAATTGAAAGTTCCTAATTGACGTGAAGTTTTTACACTTCAGGTGACAATAGGTCTGACTATTGCTTGGTCTGAGTTCTCAAAAATAAAACCAATAATTTAAATAGAACTTTTTAAGCAGAATTGTGTCTACCCTGGGCCTTGACAAGCAAGTCGTGTGGCGGCACGGTACCTCAGACAGAATTGAGTCAGACTATAGGACTCATTTCTGAAATAGTCTCATAGACACTTGGGCCAAATAAGATGGCATTGAGTGGGTGCATCAGCTCCCCTACCATGCACCAGCCTCTGGGAAAACTGGACACTACAATGGGTTGCTACAAACTACACTGAGAGCAATGGGTGGTGGCACTTTCAAACACTGGGACGTGTATTTAGCAAAAGCCACCTGGTTAGTCAATACTAGAGGATCTGCCAACCAGGCCAGCCCTGCTTAGTCAATACTTCTAGGTACTGTAGATGCGGACAAAGTCCCTGTAGTGCACATTAAAAATATACTGGGGAAGGCAGTCCAGGTTATTCCTGACTCAGGTAAAGGTAAACCCATGTGTGGGATTACTTCTGCCCAGGGACCTGGGCGCACTTAGAGGGTAATGCAGAAAGACGAGGAAGTCCCATGTGTGCCTCGGAGATTTGATTTTAGGTGAAAATGGATGATGAATTGAGCCATACAATATTAATTGCTAAACAACCCTGTTATTGCATATTGTCATTGCTGCGGTTGATATGTATTATACTAACAGCGTCACATTGATATAAGAAAAAAAAAAAAGTGCTTTGATAGAGTCAGTACTGATTTCAGCAACTGGTGCCCAGCAGCTTCCTTGAGATTGACACCTTCAGCCTGCAGATCATGAGCGTGGACTGCGCCAGATACATCACCTATGAGGTCCAAATGTCGCAGAGACTACACGCCATTCCCCTGCTGTGACCAAGGTCACCCACTCCACCGACTGAGCCAACTCCACATCACCCCTCCCGCTTTAAATTTAGTCTGTCAGGACAGATGGAGCCTGAAGTTATGGACTAAACGAACTCCCTATGCATTCTGGAAGGATGGCCCATAAACTAGGGGAATGATACCTGTGTGTATACTTCTAAGACCAGGGAAAGGGATGGTAATTACTTAGAATGTGTTGGGAAACATGGAACCTGAGCATAACGTAAATGGTATGGAATAAGGGGGAAGACTGTCCTGGTTTCAGCTTGGATAATTTTTCTTCTTAGTAGCTAGAATAGTGCTGTGTTTCAGATTCAGTATGGGATTTGGCATGGGAATAATGCTGGTAATACACTGATGTTTTTCGTTGTTGCTAAGAAATCAGGGATGGTCAACTCTCCGTGTCCTGCTAGTGCAGAGGTGCACAAGAAGTCGGGAGGGAGCAGAGCCAGAGCAACAGACCCCAATTCGGTAATGAAATACTCCATATCACATAATGTCATGTTCAATGTATGGGTGAGGGTTGACCAGAGAGTGCTCTCTCCTCTGGAACTGTCATTTCAGGATTCTCACCTGTCCAAGATGGCCAGCTGGGAAGTGGCAAGCAAGCACATTTTGCATTACCTGTTTGTATTTTCTATTACTACTACTATTATTAGTCATTTCAATTATTAAACGTTTCTGATCTCAATCTATGAGTCTCCTTACCTTTTGTCACATCCCGCTTGGATGAGGGGGACAAGTGACTCAGATTCACAAATCCCCAATGGAACGGACAACAAGTCTCCAAGTCCAAGCATTAACTACCCACAATGTACTAACTGAACACATGATAATTGGCCAAGTATATAGCAAGTTGTGGTGAGCAATACAATATTCCTTGCATTTCTTAATGGGAAAAGAGGAAGATGGAGGGAATGGAGAAATAGAGATCACCAGTCTGGGTTCCTGCACTGATCCTGCCAGCAAGGGTTCCAGGAGGCTGCCATCTTTTTTGCTAGCATCTGTCTTTGCTTCACTGCTCTCTCCAGGGGGGCCAGGGCAGACAGGAGGGCAGAAGTGAAGCCTCTTTCTTCCCCACCCTTGATTTATACAGCCTTTCCTTGGGTCTGTCCCCTAGGTTGACTCACATACCTACATATCCCATGTATGGGGAGGGGTAAGGTGTTTCATGGGATGATGTAATTAGCATGATCATGTTAGCCCTTGTTAGCATATTGAGGGGTGTTAACTTTAATAGAAGCAAAGTTCATTCACCAGACAGATGGCCCTTGAAATTTGCCCAGGTGCCCCAGAGCAGAGCCATCCTGTCTCCACAGGGCTCTCTCCCCCAGCTGCATGGGGCAGCATTATCAGCTTCTGCCTCCACAGAATAGACCCTGTGACTCATGGTTTGTCTTGTGTTTGAGGCATTTCTTTGATCAGTCTCAACTTTTGCTTTCTCAGGCTGTTTTTCTTAGTTTCTCACAGGCCTGGTTCCTTGTCTCTCACACCTTTACCCCTCCAATTCTCTCCCCTATCCCCCAATGCGGGCAAGGGTAATTGAGCAATTGTGTGGTGCTTCACTGCCAGCCAGGTTTAAACCACAACAAACCCTTAAACACTGCAGCAATCCACATTACCACCCTTTCTTACTCTAACTGTAGTCTGTGCTTAGAAGAGGCAGCTGTGCAAGAAAAAAAGCTTACTGCATCAATGACAGCTGAAGAAAACCAGACACTTTCAGGCACCTAATGCTCGAAGCCTTTTTATCTAATTACTCTATGAAAACTTATAGCTGGAGCCTAAAGATAATAGTGATATTATTAGCAGTACACACTGGTAATCTTCATGGCATATCCCTAATTATCATTCATTTTATCTAGGGTCAAATTATATTGTAGTTACACAGATGGCTACAGACACACCCAACCTCTCCTGACTGGAAAGTACATGTTCTTCTAAGTTACACAGAACTTATGGGACCAAGCATGCTTTGTTTTATTTTGGGGGATTTCTTTTTGCCATCTATTGCATTCTTCAACCCTAGGGCTTACCTCAGGAATCTGTGTGTTGCAATATACTGTCCAAGCCTTGATGCAGCTAAGTTTTCTTTTTGTGCAACCAGTACTTTGTTATGTCAAACTGTTCCTCCAGACTTGCATACTTGTAAGGTTCCTACAACTTTTTATATAGTAATTGATAAAGTAGAAATCCCTGCTTAATCAATAAAGGTAGGAGTGTTACTGATCTACTACGCACCACCTATTTCTGCTATTAAGTAAGCTTGCTCCACAGAGCAAGTTTAGTTCTTAAAAATTATTCATACTTCTGAAAAAGGCACAAGTTTATCCTCTGGGACTCCTCAGTCCTGAATCTCTATTCTTCCCATGAAAACTTCTATAATGTTATTAATTCTGTACAAACAAAGACAAGAGCTGAGATACTTTGGAAGTGCTCTACATTAAGACTATTCTATACAGCAACATCTTTAACATGCCTCTGATAACACTAGCACAAAATGAGCTTTTCAGTATATAATCTAACATGGCATTCAAGTTTTCACTTCAGTAATACAAGCAAACTGTTTTCCTGTTAAATGTTTTCCCTATACTATAATGTTGTGTATAACTTTATCCATGACCTAAAAGTTGGTTAAAACGTTTTCACTAAATTTCTCCAATGCACTGAAAGTTAGAAATAACTACAAGCCAGGATTTTTCTTCATAATTTTTAATACTTTTCACTTTTAAATACTGGTTTTAAATCTGTGATTGTAACATGGAAGAGCCAACTTCTAATTTTTAAAACTTATTAGAATCATAAAGCTATTATAGAACAGTTTACACTCTACACACTCAAGGTACCCAAAAATATGATTCATGTTTTAAGTCTGTAGATGAACAGTGGCAATTCAAATACAGTGTTATCTGTACAACTTGACAAAAATACAAGGTGGACAATCTGATAAAAGAGAATCTGCACAATTTCAGATAAGCCAGCTCAGCCCAATTAAGTAAAAGGTATTTTTTTCTTCATACTGCATTACATTTTTCACAGATAAATTTGTCAAAATAAGATGTTCAGGTTCTCGGACAGGATAACAATGACCATCTATCTCATTCTCATTACCAATACAAGTTCTATGAAGTAATTTCCCTCAGAATTTAAGATCTCTAAACAGACGCAGATATTCAGAGAACGATAGGTGATGGAGAAGATTGTTGCATTCTCAGCCCTTCAAGTTGGTTCATCTTATAGGAACATCCATTCTGAAGTCAGGAACTGCTTCTGTAAAGAAGTGTGTATAAATACTACAATCCATTAACAGGAAGCAGTGAACGCAGAGTACACAGATATGTGTCAGTGACAAAAGAGGGATGGGCTCAAGAGACAGGGCAAACTTTACAAAAGCATACAAGATCCGTTCTAGAAGAAAGGCTCTAATGGCTATTTTCACACGGACAATCTGAAAGGTCTACAGAGAACTGCCTTTTTTTATCTGTTTATGAAGAGGTCAATTAATAACAATTTCTCAATCTTGCAATTCCTTCCATTTTCTTCAAGAAGCCTCTTACAACTCTGATTGGGCAGGGCTAGCTGTAGTGAAGTACCAGTGCCTTTATCTAAAAGTAAAACATTCTTTACAAATAGTATCTGTAGTGTATTTTTATTTACAGAATAAATCACAAAAGTACATCACATTTAGTGCAAATGCAACTAATGATATAAGTTCATATACTGCTTTGTAAACTTTCCATACCTTTGTAAAATAAAGCTATCCAATTAAATTACTCATCCATGTTCCAACAGTTACCAGAAACAGCAAATAAGGAGTTAAACTCTCTATATTTTGGATATTTTTTTAAACCTTCCCATCAGTGGCTATGGCGGAACGAACCACTGCTTGGTTGATGTAAAAAGATGAAGTACATTTGAGGTATAAGATTTTTGACATCACTATATAAAACGCTCACTGGTGATACAGTAAACAAGTACAAATTTTCATCTTATTTGCCTTACTAGTATTACCATATAGGCACTTTTCTACATATTCAAATTAACAGAATAACTCTGTGATAAGGCATATTCCATGCACACCATTAAAGAAAGGCAAATAAGGGAAGAGTTATGGAGCATGAAATCTGCATGCATGTATAATCATGTTATGTACGATTTAATTTTTACAGAGATGATGAACAGAAAGTTTTTCAACACTGAAGATCACATTTAATCATTTACCAAATCTTCATTAGGTTACTGTATTATATTTATTGTCAGGCACCTACCATTCTGTATCAAATAAGACTTTTAGCTTTCTTTTGAAAAAATATATCAAACTTTTTTCTTAAGATACACAGGTCAGTGAAACACTGAGCAGTGTCTGAAGAGTTTCTGACTATGGGACATGGATAAAAGACCTCAGAGTCAGTACCAATCTGCCAGAGTCCTCTCAATGAGCATTTCCAGAATCAAACGCAGGCAAGTATCTGACATTTAAATTCTCACAGCAACTAAAGGGAACTTTGCAATAAGAACTATGCATCCTTATAGCTCTGATGGGTTTTATGATCAAGAGAAGTAATTTTCTATATGAACCTTATAGCATGACTTTATTAAGATGAGGAACGCACATGCAGGATCTGAGAATAATGTACTCATCGTTATTCAAGACTGGGAATGTTGGTCTTATGTAGTCCAAATTACTCCCAATAAATATTATAGTGTACCTTCTCATAGCTTTGGGAAAGCTCTGGATATCATGCAATACAGCAGTCCACATATAGCATGGACAGATGACTTTAAGCTTTCAGGCAGTCTCCTACACACTCATATAGAGTCTTCCTAGATATTTCCAGATGTTTAAAAACAAAATTCTGTAGCACATATTACATAACTAAAAAATACAATAGAAATATAAAGATATCTGGAAAAAAATAAAGCTTTTCACACTCTTACTCCTTCAGAACCAAATATCGTCATAAGAGTAAGACAATAGAAAAGGCAAAGTCATAAGAATATCAACAGCCCTCAGTTATTAACTGACATTTTATGTAACAAGATGATTCATTATAGAAACCAGCAGCAGTGATCTATGATTATACAAAGCAAAATAAAACCTGCCAGTAAGTCACCTAGACTTTGCTGAAGTCCCTCCCTCCCCAAATACCATACAGATTTTTGTGCATGTAAAAAGCATGAACAGTATGCTATATGTGAATTTGTACTTCTGTACTTTAGACATGCACAAGAACTGCATGAGTATCTTTGTAAGGTTGATAGTGAAATTCTGCAACTTGTTTAAAATTAAAGCAGTAACCCATGTTCTTGATCTGAAGTTGTATGTGTTGTTCTTCTCCTAAAGCAAGCAAATAAAAAGAGCCATATACATGTTATCAATACATGTATTTATAATTACACACTGATTCAGCAAGAAAAGTTAGCAGGAGAGCACTAATTTCAGATACTCAGACAGTATATTCACTTCAGTATACAAAGCCAAGAACTTGGGCCATAAAAAGACTGTAGATCCTTCGTTCCACCATGGAGTGCTTTACGCATGGTCACTTCTCCAACGTGGAATGCTCACCCAGTCTTTTTCTGATAGCTGCAGGTAAGCAAAGACAAAAATACAGCAATGAAAAGTTTGAACACTAATAGGAAACAGGAACTGTTAAACACCTTAAATAGTATCAGCACTGCTATAATTGTGTTTGCACTGTTGGCTCACGACAACCATGTTCTTCCATACATTAATTCTCTAATAATATACAAATAAGAGTGTGAATCATTGCAGGGCTACCTGTTATAGAAGGCTCACATGACAAAGACTTTTAGAAGTTTGACACAGTCAGTAGAACCCCAAAACAGAAGTAGCCTATGTCACGCAAAGAAAAAGTGATAACTCATTTTCAGATCATGCTGTAATACTAGAACCACCAAATGAAATTTGATGGTTTGACACTCCAGTTATACATTAACTATATGGTAAGAGTCTACACTAACAAAAATGAAGTAAAGCCTTAGCCCTAAAGCTTATATCTGACAGATTCTGACAGCCCCAAAAGTGATCAAGTAATCCTCTTCTAATGTCATATCATCGTTTAAATGTTAAAATCATTTTAGATGAGCCCAATGACCTATACCATTAAAATACATCCCCAGTCTTCAGAAATAATCTCTAAATCCCTTTTCTTTCTTAGGCTCATCAGAAAGGCTAGAAGTTTAAGTCACAACTTCTAAATACTCCAGTAATTCACATTGGTCTGTCAAGAAAGTTCCATTAATAAAAATCCTAGTTCAAAACTGTTCTGCTAATATAAAAGAATACTTTGACCTTCATACAATACTAATATATAAGTAGATATAACTACATGTAAGTACTAAGGACTAAGAATTTAAGATATCAAAACCTCATGAGTCTGAGAAACGTTAGTATTCTTTTCAGAACAAGTGTTAAATGCCTAGGATAGCTGAGAAAACACAGTAATTCATCCTTTTGCTTCTACATAAGTTATGTATGCAAGAACTTGAAACATAAAATAGTATGTCTACAAAAATTAATACTTGATAATTTGTGCACATTTTTTCATGCTAATAATATTTGTATGTAATGCCTGCAAGGCTATGATTTTACTGGCATCACGGGGACATGGTGGGATGGCTCCTATGACTGGAGTGTTGGAATGGAAGGATACAGGCTCCTTAAGGAGGACAAGCAGGGGAGATGAGGAGGGTATGTCACCCTCTATGTCAGTGACCAGCTGGAGTGCATGGAGCCCTGCCTGGGGATGGATGAAGAGCTGACTGAGAGCTGACTGTGGCTCAGAATCAAAGTGGGAGGGCAGGGACAGGTGACAATATAGTGGGGGGTCTGCTACAGGCCACCCAACCAGGAAGACTAGGTGGATGAGACCCTCTTAGATAGGAGCAGCCTCATGGGGCACTTCAACGACCCCAATATCTGTTGGAGGGACAGCACAGCAGGGCATAAGCAATCCAGGAGGTTCCTGGAATGCACTGATGATAACTTCCTTCTCCAAGTGACAGAGGGGCCAGCTAGGAGAGGTGCTATGCTGGACCTTGTTCTCACCAACAAGGAGGGAAATGTGAAGCTCAAGGGCAGCCTTGGCTGCATGACCATGAAATGGTGGAGGTCAAGACCCTTAGGGGAGCGAGGAGGGTGCACACAGCTAGCTCACGACCCTGGACTTCAGGAGATCAGGCTTTGACCTCTTCAGGGATCTGCTAGGCAGAATAGCATGGGATAAAGCCCTGGAGGGAAGAGGAGCCCAAGAAAACGGGTTAATACTCAGGGATCACCTGCCCCAAGCTCAGGAGCAGTGCATCCTGACAAAGAGGAAGTTGGGTAAGAACTTGAGGAGGCCTGCAGGGATGAACAAGAAGCTCCTGGACAAGCTCAAACACAAAAAGGAAGCCTACAAAGGGTGGAAACAAAGAGAGATAGCCTGGGAGGAGCACAGAGAAACTGTCCGAGCAGGCAGGGAGCAGATTAGGAAGGCCAAAGCCCTGATAGATTTATATCTGGCCAGGGATGTCCACAGCAACAAGAAAAGCTTCTGTAGGCAGGTTGGTGATAAAAGGAAGACTAGGGAACATGTGGGCCCTGTCCAGGAGGAAATGGGAGACTTCACCCGGGATAATGAGAAGCCTGAGGTACTCAATGACTCTTTTGCCTCCGTCATCACCGGCAGGTGTTCCCAACACACACTGCCCAAAACACAGAAGCCAAAGGTGGGGACTGGGAGAATGAAGAACTGTCCACTGTAGGAAAAGATCAGGCTTGAGACCATCTAAGGAGCCTGAAGGTGCTCAAGTCCATGGGACCTGGATGAGGTGCATCCGTAGGTCCTGGGGGAACTGATGGGTGAAGTGGCTAAGCCACTATCCATCGTATTTCAGAAGTCGTGGCAGTCTGGTGTATTTTCTGCTGACTGGGAAAGGGGAAACATAACCCCTATTTCTAAAAAGGTGAAAAAAGGAAGACTTGGTGAACTACAGGTCAGTCAGTCTCACCTCTGTACCTGTCAAGTTCATGGAACAGATCCTCCTGGAAACTATGCTAGGGTACATGGAGAATAAGGAGGTAACTGGTGTCAGTCAGCATGGCTTCTCTATGGGCAAATCATGCCTTCTACAACATAGTTACAGCACTGGAAGAGCAACCGATGTCATCTCTCTGGAGTTGTGCAAAGCATTTGACACTGTCCTGCACACCATTGTCTCTAAATTGGAGACATGGATTTGACAGATGGACCACTCAGAGGATAAGGAATTAGCTGGATGGTCGCACTCAAAAAGTTGCAGTCAACAGCTCAATGTCCAAGTGGACAGCAGTGACAAATGGTGTTCCTCAGAAGTCAGTGTTGGGACTAGCACTGTTTAACATCTTTGTTGGCAACATGAACAGTGGGATCAAGTGCACTCTCAGCAAGTATGCTGACAACACCAAGCTGTGTGGTGCAGTTGACACAGTGGAGGGAAGGCATGTGCTATCCAGAGGGACCTGGACAGGCTTGAGAAATAGGCCCATGCAAACATCATGAAGTTCAACCAGGCCAAGTGCAAGGTCCTGCACATGGGTCAAGGCAATCTCAAGCACAAATAGAGGCTGGGTGATGAGTGGATTGAGAGCAGCCCTGCAGAGAAGGACTTGGGGATGTTAGTGGATTAAAAAGTGACTGTGAGCCAGCAATGTGCACTTGCAGCCCAGAAAGCCAACCGTGTCCTGAGCTGCATCAAGAGAAGTGTGGCCAGCAGGTGAGGGAAGTGGTTGTCCTCCTCTACTCCACTCTCATGAGACCCCACCTGGAGTTCTGTGTCTAGCTGTGGGGCCCCCAACATAAGGGCATGGACCTGCTCTAGTGGGTCCAGAGGAGGCCACGAAGACAATCACGGGGCTGGAGCACCTCCCTTGTGAGGACAGACTGAGAGTTGGGGTTGTTCAGCCTAGAGAAGGCAAGGCTCCAGGAAGACCTTATAGCAGCCTTCTTGTACTTAAAGGAGGTGGGCCTACAGGAAAGATCGGGAGGGACTCTAACCAAGGAGGGTAGTGGTAGGATGAGGTGTAACAGTTTTAAACTGAAAGAGGGTAGATTCAGATTAGATATAAGGAAGAAATTCTTTCCTGTAAGGCTGCCCCCTCCCCAGCAGTGTTCAAGGCCAGGTTGGACAGGGCTTTAAGCAGTGTGGTCTAGTGGAAGATGTCCCTGCCCATGAAAGGGGATTTGGAACTAGATGATCTTTAAAGGTCCTTTCCAACCCAAACTGTTAGAGAATCATATGAATATTTTTAAACGTATATTGCATACGTGTATTAAAAGAAAACACTGCATTAATGCTAATCATGGTAAGACTTCTAGATTGCATACTTCTGATTGGCCTTAAATGTGTAACAGTGAATTAATAATTAAAAATATTAATATATACCTGATAATACTAGAATAAAATAGGCTTTCCTGCTGTTTTCTCTTGCACGTATGATGTAAAACGCTTCAGGAATTTTGGATATTCTCGTTTTGCCACTGCCCGTAACACTGACGCTGGTGCCCACCCTCCTGGGTTCACTAGAAGTAGAGAGGTAGACAGACATTAAAATACAGCAAAGCAACTAAAGGCTAGAAAGAAAATATGAGTTTGTTATTCCTGCGACTTTCTGAAGTAACAGAAAAAATGATCAGCAATTTTTTTTATGCCTTTACAGCTCCTATTGTAGCACCTTCTACTCTTAATACTCAAACTCAGTTCAGTTCTATGATGCCACTATTTAGAAAGCTTTAAACATCATGTCCTGTGAGTCTCTGGGGAATGTCCAAATGGAAGACAATATTCTCTACGGACTTTCAGGAAACAGAAGAAAGACTGAAGTTACTACTTATTTCAAAGAAAACAGAAGTCTGTCTTAACCTTTTAATAACTGCTGCATTTGTCTGCAGAACTGCTATGTAGCCAATGTCTTACAAATTATTTTTAAAGCACTTTAAAAAAAATTCAAACTGATTTTAAAATACACTTCAATTCACAAGGCAAGTATTTTGCTGAAAAAGCTGCTGGTTTCCACATAATCGTAGTTCAAAATTTACCAATAAAAATTTTAAGTAATTCGGAAACTTCTAAAAAGGAAACAAAGCAGCTTACACCAGAGTTTTACATCATATAGTAGTATTTGTACAGGATTTAATACAAATTACATCACTCCTATATATCAAAGATTTACTGAACCAGTCTTTCAGACTCTGATTCTTTGGTAAACCATGTAATAGGTGGTTAAAAGTAATAAGCAGGTAAGCTACTCTAAGTGTTTTGTAGCTCCAGGAGAGGACCTAATAAGTACATAGCTCCTATACTACAATACACTGATAAATACTGGGCACAGTAACAATAGTTTGGCTTTGATAACTTTTCAGTCAATACCAAGGATTCTATCAGTTAAAAAAAGGTAAAACTAGATTATATGGCTTGCAAACACTGTCATACAAAATGTATTTGCTCCTTCTCAACACTAAGGGTAAGAACTGTATCTTTACTATCAGCAGCTTTTCTACCTAACAAGGTGAACGGGGGGGGGTGGGGGGGGTGTGGAATACAGCAGTGAGTGAGAGAGACATACTATTACTGAAATTAAGAGCTACGCCAAGTAATTTCAGCTGCAGACATTTCTTCTGCCCACCCTCCTCAACCCCAAGGTTCTGTACTTAAGACAGAGCCACACACCTTACGTTTATTCCTTGTAGAATGCACCACAGTGAATGAACCCACTCACTGATTGATGTAGCACATCAGTCTTTTGAACATGAAGACTATAAATGTGGTGCTATATATAAGTTTGACAGAAAGCTACATCAAGATTTTTTGCCGGTATTCAGCTCTTCAGAATTAGCATACATCATGAATGTCACAGTGAAATATTTTAGACTTACCATTAGCTACATATGTAATCTTGCATAGGATGTTGTCCCTACTAATTTCCTTGTTCCCCTCTGGTGGGCTTACTAATGTCTGACAAATCATAGCAATGTTTATTTTGGCACGGACACAGCGATTGTTCAGCTGACAAAAAAAAGAAACATTTGTAAACCTCAGGCTAAATTTATTTTAGCATACTTGACAGCTAACATTTTAAGTTACTATGAAATCTAAGCCACTCCAGAACCTGTGTTTCTGAGAGTTTGCACTCTAGCACTACATGGATGTAACATGAATGTAAATGAAGTGAAGGGTACATGTTGAATAGGGAAAGGGTTGAACTAAAATGCCTGTATCTCAGGTTTCTGCTTGCTTATACATATTACAAGTTAATTACTTCAGTTATTGTGACAAAGTAGTAGAGAAACATTTAAAGAATAATGTATCAGCATTTACAATTATGAGTTAGTAGCTTTTCCCTTGTAAACAGGGCATAGAAATTAACACACAAGTATTACACAGAAAACAATCTTTGCTACTGGGAGAACCAAGGCAGAACTGTGTAAGATGGAGGTTTAACAGATTCTGTATTTACAATCTTACAACCCTACTTCTATATCTGACAATATCAAAGAGTTATTTGATTTGATGCCATACAAAATCACCTCAATTCTTTAATTTTAATTCTTTAATTTTAAAGAATTTTCACAACTCCAGAAATTTTGCTTCCATTCTGCTGCAACCTCAGATCAGTCAACTGTTGAGATAAGTCAAGAAAGCTTTTGGCTGATAATGCCTTCATCAGGTCATTTTATCACCTGGTTTAAATAAACTGTATTTTTGCGTAACCCCTCACCTCCCTCACACTAGTATTGCATGTGCTTTACCACGTAATCAAAAAAGTTACCTTAAAAGCAGAACTTGACAGAATGAAAATAATACTTACAGGAGCACTGTCATGTTCCACAGAGAAATTGCACACAATCCATGTTTCAGGATCATTTTCACTGAATGCTGGTATCTTTCTGATGGCAGACAAATACAGCACATCCCTTTGAGAAGCTGGCCACACCCTCTGCAGAAAGACACCTGAATATAAGTTTTCCAATTTTGCAAAATAAGTATTTACTATCCTTAAAGGAAAAAACAAGCAAGGCAAGCCAGGTCAGTCATGTTATTTAAATGAAAGTTTGAGTTAGTAATTTCATTTTCAAAACTAAAACAGAATTTAGCTGTTTGTACAGATGCATCATATGGTTATGCTTAATTTTAAAAAATTTAAGGCAAAAGCTTAAGGCCTTTGAAATGCAAAAAGCCAAGCTGAAATAACTTCTGCAGTAGAGCAACATGAAGAGGCAGTTTCCCTCCTGTTCCCTCAACCTCAAGTTTACATTTTAGTTAATACTTGTAAGCTACAAACTGAATCAGTAGTTATTTATAAATAGATGGATCTACAGTCACTTATGTTTCCAGAAAAGGGAGAGAAATATTTAAAACAAATATTCTTTCAAAAAGCTACTACTTCAGTAAGACAGATATAGTCAACTGATACTACTTAAGGGAATGTTTCAGAAGCAAAGTGTCTAATAAATAAGAAAAATACAAAAGTCCTTTTCCTGACACTCAGTAGAGGAAAAAAGTCTAGCTTTTACCACAATATTACACAATATACACAACTGTCTTACTCATTAGCATGACTCCTCTGTTACAGAATTTTTAAGGTAGCCACACAACTGGTGAAATTGTCAAAGAAAAATATTTGGTTTAATATTTGAGTATACTAATTATTGGAATCATGCAAGATTAAAGATTCATCTGTATATTTAATTCCCTTTTTTTTAAACTTTAAGTTACAGTTGAGTGATAATTCAAATTAACATTTTAGTAAATTTACACCTAAACTTGAGAGGGAAAAAACCATAAAGTTACAAGAACAAATGTTGTACCAGCAATTATATCACCTCATAATGCAAATGTGTATGTTAACTTACTGTGGTCAACAATAGCTTGCATTATTACAAGAAAACATACAATACAATAGTACAGGTTTCTTCCATGTAGTGAGTGTTGATTTATTTTTTTTCTGCTTGCCTTGGATGACCCTTGCCTTGCTGGCAGTGATATTGTTAGAGAGATTAAAACCAGTTCTCATTTGTTATTACAAGCTCTATCAGACACATGCACAATTATGCTATCATGAAAAGTTTGAAAAACTGAAAAAGTTACAGTTTAATAGGAACAGTATTTTAAGTTGTTAAGCCATTAAAAAGTATTCAGAATAAAATTGCAAAATATATGCTCCACACTGTCTCAGTAAGATATGCATACAGCTGAAGTGTTTTTACCTTATGTGTCTGGTAAATGATGATTGCATTATCAGCTAAATTTTCCACAACATGGAAATTTTCAATTGTTGCTAAAAGAGGAGGGGGGGAAAAAAATTCATCAGTAAACAAGCACAGATATTAGGTCAATGCTATAAACAATATCCTTGCTGATAAACATGCAGATCTTAAGAACTAATTCCTTACTTTCCCAGTCATTACGAACATCGACATTCCAGAAATAATGGCAAACTTCGTGCCCTGTTACCCCTTTAACGGCATGGGTTGCTTTCAAAGGATCTAAAACTATTCCATTCTCTTCCACCTCTCTTCTGTATACCTATAGCCAAATACAAAGAAACATAGAACAAAATTTGTCAAAACTGTTCATGTTTTAATTGTTTTAAATTTTCATCAGTTTTTTAAAAAAACCCCACTTACCTAGAAGAGACTAACACATGAATAATCTGCCATGTCAGTGTTCTCTGGTAACTACCAATGCGGACATTCTTACATGGCAATTCACTTTAAAACAGCAGTATTTTAAGAATGTCTACTCCAAAAATGATTAAGCTACCTTATTTATCACTATGCACAAGGATCCATACAAGCACAGTAGAGCAGCCAACACAGTAACCTGCTACCCTGACATTTTGGTACATAGAATTTACACATCATATTGATACCAAGTTTTAAGTAGGAGAGAATGAGAAAGGAATCTGCAAAGACAAAGCTATTTTAAGAGTTACACAGGATTTTATATGAATATATGTATCAGAAGCCACAGCGCTTGTGGACTCCAGTCCTAACTTAATGCTATTCTTAGAGAAGTTTAAACAGTATCACTTGCAGAGTGATAGTATTCCCAGAGAATCACAGAATTACTTAGGTCAGAAGTAACCCTTAAGATCAACTCCAACTGTAAACCTAACAGTGCCGAGTCCTCCAGGCTGAAAGTATCTGTCTTCATAGCATATTATCTCAATTACCATATCAATTAAACAAACCCCCAAATCTTTACCTTCATTTCTCCTTCTTCTACCACTAGCTGCCAATTGGCATCTCCTCCTACATCTTGCAAGGAATATGTCATATGGTTTTGTACCATCTCTTCCACCTTTAAAAGAAAACACCACACATGAACTCATTCCTTCCATCTTCTTGGGCAGAGACTCTACATTATTGGAAACCACAAGACAATACTTCAAATCCTGTGCAGAGGCTGAATTTGGACAACAAAGCTTTCTATTGTGGGTTAAGAAGCAGATACTTCTGGCCTTCAGAAACAGAAGCCAAAATCTTGATTCAACTTCCAACTTTATTCTTTATGAATACTTCCTATCCTTCCTTTGCACCTCTAAAACCATTATTTCTACCTAAGTTTTATTTCAGCATGTAAGAACTTACTTGAGGTACCTCTAAACAGAATTACAGTGCACTAAGATATTCAGTGAAGAGCATTTAAAAAGCTGAAAAAAGGCAGAGGTGAATGGGGAGAAAGCAGACAAGCTGTAAAAAAGTGAACATATATCAAAAGTCATATTGAAAGAGCAATGAAGGAAACAGTCATAAGCAAAGCATGCCTATTTTGTTTCATTGGCATCTTTGCACAGTTGCCAGCTAGGAAAAAAGAACAGAAATGCTTATGTTCAAAAAGTTATGATGATACAAAGACTCCACTATTATAAAATACTAATTAAAAAATTTAGCTAGATAGTTGTGTGCTTTTCTTAAAGGCCAAATATTTGATACATTTTTATCAAGCTGTGTGAATACCTCGGTTTTTTTATTCCATATAATGTGCAATAAAATGAGGGCTGGGACTGGAAATGGATTTTTATTTTAGATCTACAAACTCCTCCTGGTTTTTTGGCTCCCCACCCCTTTCTAGATCCTACTCTTCCCCGAATAAGAACAGAAGAAAAAATATAAGGTATCCATTGCTGTGTACAAGTACTGGAAACACTAACTTTTTTCCACCCAAAAGCTAGGTGACTACTCAAACTTGTCACAGCAAATAAGTCCATGTGATTGACACTATTTTCCTGAATTACTAGAAGTACACTTTTTTTTTTCCAAAAGGAAAAGCACTTACAAGGAAAGGTGAGTTGATTAACACAAAGATTAGCCTAAGAGGTGCACAATCACAAGATTAATGGCCTGAACCCATATGTAATTTTGCACAACTTTAATGTGAAGCCTAGTGTGCATGTAAAATATATTTTAAGTAATGCAACAAGTAGAAAGCAAAATTTAAAAATAATGATCTTTTTGTTATAGAATTAAAATATGTTACCAACAGGTTTCCTACAAGAGTTTTCTTTTTTTTCCAGTGAAACAACAACAATATAGAAAATCCAAACCAGGTAAGAATGTGAGCTATTTAAATATTCAATTTATTAGCTCTAGGTCACACTTCATTTAGAGAAGAAGCCTTGCCATGCTCCTAACGTCTACCTGCAACACTGTCAGGTCCCTGTGTCTCTTCTCCCCTAGCGCTTAATCTGTTAAAGGAAAAAGCTAGCTTTTATACCTCAGTTTTGTCGTTTGACACTTTTTGCTTCATTCTAAATTCAGAGGTATGAGGGGAATAGAAGAAGAGGTGGCAGTGTGCCATCTCAACACTTCCTTACTTCTGCTTCACCAAGGAATTGCAGTACCGACTGCCTTGCGCATACTACCCGTCCAAAACATAAGCAATCTAGGCAATAGTTGCTGTCTGCCAACCTGCACCTATTTCAGAGGTACAGAGTCAAGATTCACAGCTTATTTCTCACTGGAGAGACCACACTCTTACCTCTGGGTTCCTCACAGGCTGCAGGAGTGTTATGCAAAAATACTTGTAACCTGTATGCCAGGAAGCCTTGGTGGGATCATTAAGTGGGAAGTTCTTCACTTTAAAGGCCCTGAGAACAGCTCACTCAAAATCTGATAGTCCTTTAAAAGAAAGTAATCTGCAATCTATCTGCAGTACTTTAGGCCTACAACATCCCACTCAACTGACAGAGACAAATCAATACCTTTGAGACACAGTGAAAATTCAGGTCCCATCAGAATACATGTTTACTTCTCAATCTTAAAAACAAGGCCGCAAGTTTCTATTTGACTTTTTAACGATACCAAAATTCCCTTCGTACAAATGAAGTCTAGGAACAAGTCAGAATCAAGATATTAGCTTGCCTTTCCAAAAGCTAAATCCTCAGCCTGGAAGCAGAGGTCAGTTTCACATTAATAAGGTCTAAAGCAGATTCCCACCAAAAGGTGTGCGGCTTTTCTCTTCGTGCTCTCAGTTGCCTTTCACTTGCTTGTTCGGTAGCAACGAAGCATCAGAACAGGTGGACTGGTTGTTAATCTATCAGAAATTTGTTCTAGGTTAAATATCTGGGGGGATGTGTGTATGCCAGGGAGAGTAGTTTCCAATAGATGGAGATGATCATCCTTTCTGCAGTGACTCAACTAACTTGAAGCTGCATTCAAAAGGCACTCAGTAGAAACTTCTACACAGTATAATCCATGCAGCAGCTGAAAAGAACTACTTGACTGCAGTCCATTTGATCCTTAACTTAAATTTGCATTACTGTGATAAGGAGCTGGTTGACCTCAGATTTGTTTTTAAATAGTTAGTTTTTCAGCCACACTAGTGCTCTGATACTCAGGTTTACCATATGAATGCAGAAATATTATGACAGGCATAAAAGGTGAAAATGAGGAGGCCCACATATTTTAGCAGCTATGAGTTTCTCTTATATTGAATTGTCCACATGCCCATAGCCTGACAGACAACCAGTTCCTACCTTGAGGATCAAACTTGCTTTCTATTACTCGATTCCTCCTCCCAAACAGAAACAAACTTGAAAAAATAACTTGGCTATGGGAGTACAAGATGAGTCTATCAGTGCTGTGCAAATATGACCTGCGTACTTTTTCTTTTGTGATAAGTTCAAACTTCAGAAATTAACTGGCTGCAAAAGGTCAAGGCAAGTGTTGGGATTTCAGTCTAATAAGCAAGTCTTTTAAGTGCTAGGGTCCTGCTCATACAGCTGGAATCAAGTTCTCTAGGTGGTACAATTTCAGGCTCTGTTAATAAAAGAAAATCCTTCTATTTGAAAAAGCAGGTTGTCTGCAACATTAATCAATAGTTTTTGAAAAGCTCCAAAATAACAGATCCCAGAAGGAAGCTCCATATTCAGAATCACATATGGACCACAGCAGAAGGAAACTGATGGTATGAATGCCATGTCTGAACAGCTTTTGAGACTAAAGAGCAAACATGTACTCGCCTATCTAATTCTACTATACTCTATGATCTTCAGAGCAAGCACCTAGATTAGTTTTGTATGTTGCTGGAATATGTCACTATGACTACATGGACATATTCAACATGCCAGACTTACTTTCAGAAGGGTATGGGAATATACTGAAACTCTTCAGTAAAAATTCTCATACTCACAATCTGTTTGTCATAGTTTATGACCTTTCAGTAATAAAACCAGCTCTAGAGGTAAAGATGGCAATACCAAACCTTAACACTTATCATCTTAATGTCATTACAAACAAATGCTGGAAACCAAAATCAAACCTTTGATTTAAAAGCAACAAAAACTATTCAATTTAAATAAAAGACCACCTCCAGACCACACAAAACGTGTTATTCTACTTTGACTATAATGAGAAATGCAAAATTTTCGAATTGTAGGCATTGTTAAAGCTGTTGAATTAAATCCAACTATTCCCCAAGATTTAGGCCTCTGCATAAGTGTATGCATGCAAGCTGGATGTAAAAAGACAACCATTTTGTACAGGAATAGAGAACTCCTTTGTCTCAACATACTACTTTAAAGCAAGCAGTGATTTATGTAACAAAAAACCCAGGTTCTAGAGAAGAGGATGAAATACAGCAAAAATATGCAACTCCCACTCTACACATTAATACAGTACCTGGGCGCTGAATCTGTGAACATCATCAGAGGCACTGACTAGATCAATGGAAGACATGGAGGAAGAGCGACTATAGGGCTACCAGAGACAGACAAAGAAAAAACCAAGTAATCAGAACAAAGGCACAACAGAGCATTCAGTACCAACTTGCAAGCACAAGATAATGAAAAGGAAAACAAAAGCACCACAAGCAGCAAGCACAGCAGCGAATGCTGATTTCATGCACCTATTATCTATTATGCTCCCAGTGTATCCCTGAGAGAAGCACAGTGTTTCCAGTAACACCAAAAAGTCAACTGATCATGATACAAGCAACTGGATTTTTTTTCGTATTATAAAATCAATTCAACAAATTAAGGTATCAGGAAAAACACAGGTTAGCAAGCTGGGATTTTTCCTTTATTATACAACAAGCTTGATATAAGTCAGTATTCTAAATAGATACTCAAATCAGCTACTTAATTTGAAAATGAGTAAATCATTGAAAGTTACTAGAAACACTTAAAATCACCTACCCATACAATACACTATATAGAAATATCCATAGGTCAGACCATTATTCAGAGGAGATCATGAGAGATATCCTACCTTTTGGACAAACCGATGAGTCCCCACAGCAGAATATGCATCTCCAGAAGGTAAGGATGTTGGCCAGTGTAACCTAACCTTTTCACTCTGGGACTGCAAGAAAATAGGTCTAGTTATTACTAGTCAGCTGTTACTGGAGGGACTATGAAACAGAGTGAGTCATCCTCAAACTATATAGTGGCTGCAACAACTAATGCTGTCCATGACAGGCATTAAGCTGTCATCCTGCTGGAATTCTCAGTAAGTGAATGGACCCAAAGACTGAATTTGTCTATACATCATGATATACTTCTGAGTTAAGGAAAATAGATGGCAGCATTAAGGATCCATGTAGTACTACAACAGTCACTCAAAACTTCTACTCTCTGCTAAGAAATCCCAAAGTCGGTAAACTCTGTTGGGTACTATATGTCCACTAGGAAGTATTTTAAATCTTAACCAAGTCATTGTATTCACTATATTCAAAACCTCATCACTTTTAAGATGAAAAATGCATCGCTTTGTTATACCCTCTCATTTTACATACTGCTATATGTTCTCACATTCTATATATTTCCTCACATGCATCTTAAGCCTTTCTAATCCTTCTCACTGAAGTGTATTCAAGAAATGAGCTAGAGAAGTAGCCAGAGCCCACGGAATTTTTAAATAAAATAAACACCAACATAAATATATCTTTTCTATTTCACATACTGCTAGAGTCAAAAGAAACTTCAGAGCAATAACTAGATTATGAGAAATAGCTGCAGTGTTTGATATTTGCACAGGGCATCAGTAACATACAAAGGTAAGTTTTACACTGGACGCTGATGTAGAAATTAGAAGCTAGAGACATTCAGTTATCTCAACACTTATACTATCCTTTTCTATGTAATCTGTGAAGACACTTTCTCAAAATTAGTGTTAAGCAACAATATTTAACTGTAAAAATACTGAGTGAATTCTCCTTATCAATGTCAGAATAAAATATTTAGAGCTTCAGAAGATGCATTCCCAAACAGAATTTCAGTAACTGGAGTCTCCCAGGAAATGCCCATCATTAAGATATTTTTCAAGTATCAATACCTGTTCTTCCATTTTATCCTGTCTATCGAGAGCAGCTTCAACAGCATCAAAGAATTCTTCTTCATTAATCAGACTGTTAGGACCTTCCTAGAGTGTTAAGAAACAAAAACAGTTAAAAATTTTGGAGACATGACAGTTCCACTTCAGTTTTAGAAATACATATTTATATTATGCATATAACCGATGGAAGCAAATTTCTTCTATAGACCTCAAATATTTTCACCAATATTCTTAGATTACAATTTATCTAAAAACCTTACTTGTTAAAGGAAGTTAATCCCTCTAAACTACAACTAGGGGTAGTTGTTTAAGAAAAAAAACAGGAAATGGAGTAACAGTGTCAATATGCACTGACATCATATTCAGGTTTTAATTAACATTTATCTCCTCTTAAAAACCTTTACAGTATGTCAGTAAAGTACACATATTAACATAATTGTGTAGCTAGACTCCTTCCAAGTCTTCCAGTGCCTTAGGGTGCATTTCAGGTATGTGCTCAAAACATAATAAAATTCTAGGGATCCCTACTGAAAATTTTTGGAAATAACAGTTTAACACTAAACAGCAGGCAGAGTTGAGTCAACTATTAAAAACTTAAATCTAAGTAAAATGGTAATTTCAGAAAATGAAGTTTACTGCTTTTACTGTATTGTAAAACAAGCTGGTCTAGCAAATTTCAAAAAACTACTTTACAACAGGGATACCTGGGAGAAGCAGCTGGGTTCATACCCAGGTAGACGAAGTCAAATCTCCTATCCATCTTTTTGTTTTACAGTGTATGCCTCAGTCACAACAGACAACCTAACTTCAAGTTTCTTTTAAATATCTCAATATATTAGTACTATTTCTCAGGCGCTGATTTGTAAGTAGAAGCATGTTTTGATTAATGTACATGAAAGGGTCATGTTCTTAAAAATTAGGCAAACTGCATTATAGATGCACTAGCTTAAACTATTTTTCAGAAAGTGGTTTAAGCATCTTAGAATTTGACTAAATACCTCAACTGAGGAGGAAGCTGCTGAAATATGTAATTTAACAGATTAAAGAAACTTAAAAATCACCGAATTTTTCAACACAAAATTTGAAGTGACAGTAATAAGTTAAAAATCAATTTGAGTTAAACTTCAGATTCTAAGACTGCCTCTGAAGTCAGGGTTTTCATAGTTGATTTATATATCTATACAGCCGAACCACTAAAAATCAAATACTATCGCAATATAAGCAATATGAAATGTAGAAAAAAAAAATCAAAAATCAGCAGAAATATCTGTAAGCAAAATACTTTAGACAAAAGCAGAACATGGAAGCCTGAGGTGAAAACAGACTTCCCTCCTCAAATAATTAAGGACTGAAATTCTTCATACAGTTTCAATTTCCAAGGTGGAAAATAAAAGTGGCACGAACACGCCTGCACAAACCAAACACCTTGATTTATACACCCCTTTCCCCGCCTTAAAAAACAAACCAATCATTAGAAATGATAGCATTTTTTGAAATTTCAAAAGCAAAATTTGCACCTCATAGTCTGGCCCTCCAAAGTGGGACTTTTTCTTCAGTTCTGTCACAGCATTTTTGTATGCTTCTTCAACTCTTCTCTTTTTCTCTACCTCCTGTAAAATTACATAATCATTTGATGCAGTGAGAATGAATTGACTGATAATAGTCAACATATCAATAAATTGAATGACCAGTATATTTTTCCAACTAACAGTTGCAAAGCTATTTATTTGCTGAATTTATTTTCATACATGCATTATATGTGCCCATATACATGCATATGTAATACAAAGCTTGGGGACCTAGCTACCTTGAGGAAATCTTTAAATAATGGGAAAAAAACTCGATCAGCAAGCAAAAACTTGTCCCTAGCTTAAGCATAGCTGTTCTTGGTTCACTGAGGGTCAGACTTTGTATTTGATGATTGACCATTTATATAAACCTCCTTGACAGAGATGCTTGGGCAGTGATTAAAGGTGAAAAGTAAGACTGGTAAAAAGCTAACTTGTTAAATATGGTGAGATACTAATGAATCACAGCATTTAAGTATGTATCTATAATTAACTGGCATAAGATCAATATGAATCATTTTGTGAGCTCAACGCAGAGGCTAATAACTCAACATCATTCTCCCGTAATAGGTGTTTGCGACTGTACTAGAGCACTGATGTCTATACAGTTATATATTTTGAATAAAAAGTAGTAATGGCAGAATCAGATTAAGTCTAGTACTTCCTCTGCAAATTCTACATATTGTTAGATATTCTCAGTGAAAAAGCTATAAACTACTGAAATACTTGCAGAATTCAGCTTTATTACATAACATGCTTCTTTGTCCTGTTCCAGAATCACTTCAGGTGGAAGAAAGTTAAGTCTTAGGGGTTACAACTGGACACCAGACACTGCTTCTTGCAGATATAATTATTCAGCAACCTAATTTGACCTTTAAAGATTCAGTGGAAAACTGTTAAGTACTACTGAAAGGCTGAGTTTACCAACTGGGAATTTGGTGGTAACATCCACTCTGGAACACATTTTCCAGTTTCTAAAGAAAAGTTTGAAAAGTAAAGCAACAGTTCTGATGTAAAATAAAGTACTACATACAGTTTTCAGAGGAAAATTCTCTAGAAAAAAATCAGCACTTAGATGAAGAAAATATTGTCTTTATCCGTGCACATAGCCTTTTTCCTTCTGAAACTATCTAAAACTGTCAGAAAGAGGCAACAACAGCTAACATGTTTCACAAAATTTTGCACATTCATATTTTGAAAGTAACTGCAGAATCCTGAAGATGCATAAAGCATGTCTTGAGTGTAAGTCATTAAGAGAAAGCATGAAAGTTTTACATGAACATTTGGAATTAAAACAAATGCATTCCAAAACATAATTCCTCCTCCTCCTGTTCGCCCTAAATCCCCATACTTTCTATACTTCAACCTGGATATTAGTGACAATTCACATGTGTCAAAGGATAACTCCCCAAATCTGACAGCTTCTCTTGGCAACAACATTAAATCAATCAGAAATCGGGAAACTAACTGCACAAGAGAAAAATTACTGGTGTATTAAAACTGTAAAATGTAATGAGACATTTAAGTTACAGTTGTCAAAGGTGAACAAAATAAGCTACCTAAACATGTTAGTCTTATGATAAAATCTAATGGTCAGAAAATAAGTTTGCTCAATAAAACAATTAGTAAGAACAAAGGAAATAAGAATAGAAAAAACACTGCTTTTATCAAGACAGAAAAGCATCATCACATGTTGCAAATAAAACAATGGACCAAATACACGAGATTAAATAATTTCCTTGTTTAATGCTTTTAGGAAACTTCTGTTTTAAAATACATTCAATAGGCTCATACTGCACTGGAAAATTAAGTCAAGCTCAACATCTTTACAGCCAAGAGGAAAAGACTGAAAGCAAAGGTCTAACTAAGGTTACCTTTATATAACATTATGTGCTTTTGCATTAATTTTATTCTGCCCATCTGACTGTTTTGGTAGCAGAAAGAAAACTAGACATAGAAATCTAAAATTACAATCATTAAGTGCATTATTTTAACAGTCCCTTAAAAAGTGAAAGAAGTTTTTATAATAATTTCTTGTTTTAAAAGTTTTAGAAATAGTTTCCAACCTTCAGAAAGTAACTTAAAGCCCTTTATTGGAAATTAATGTCTCCCCTTTCCCAGTCAGCAGAAAATACACCAGACTGCCACGACTTCTGAAATACGATGGATAGTGGCTTAGCCACTTCACCCATCAGTTCCCCCAGGACCTACGGATGCACCTCATCCAGGTCCCATGGACTTGAGCACCTTCAGGCTCCTTAGATGGTCTCAAGCCTGATCTTTTCCTACAGGACAGTTCTTCATTCTCCCAGTCCCCACCTTTGGCTTCTGTGTTTTGGGCAGTGTGTGTTGGGAACACCTGCCGGTGATGACGGAGGCAAAAGAGTCATTGAGTACCTCAGGCTTCTCATTATCCCGGGTGAAGTCTCCCATTTCCTCCTGGACAGGGCCCACATGTTCCCTAGTCTTCCTTTTATCACCAACCTGCCTACAGAAGCTTTTCTTGTTGCTGTGGACATCCCTGGCCAGATATAAATCTATCAGGGCTTTGGCCTTCCTAATCTGATCCCTGCCTGCTCGGACAGTTTCTCTGTGCTCCTCCCAGGCTATCTCTCTTTGTTTCCACCCTTTGTAGGCTTCCTTTTTGTGTTTGAGCTTGTCCAGGAGCTTCTTGTTCATCCCTGCAGGCCTCCTCAAGTTCTTACCCAACTTCCTCTTTGTCAGGATGCACTGCTCCTGAGCTTGGGGCAGGTGATCCCTGAGTATTAACCCGTTTTCTTGGGCTCCTCTTCCCTCCAGGGCTTTATCCCATGCTATTCTGCCTAGCAGATCCCTGAAGAGGTCAAAGCCTGATCTCCTGAAGTCCAGGGTCGTGAGCTAGCTGTGTGCACCCTCCTCGCTCCCCTAAGGGTCTTGACCTCCACCATTTCATGGTCATGCAGCCAAGGCTGCCCTTGAGCTTCACATTTCCCTCCTTGTTGGTGAGAACAAGGTCCAGCATAGCACCTCTCCTAGCTGGCCCCTCTGTCACTTGGAGAAGGAAGTTATCATCAGTGCATTCCAGGAACCTCCTGGATTGCTTATGCCCTGCTGTGCTGTCCCTCCAACAGATATTGGGGTCGTTGAAGTGCCCCATGAGGCTGCTCCTATCTAAGAGGGTCTCATCCACCTAGTCTTCCTGGTTGGGTGGCCTGTAGCAGACCCCCCACTATAATGTCACCTGTCCCTGCCCTCCCGCTTTGATTCTGAGCCACAGTCAGCTCTCAGTCAGCTCTTCATCCATCCCCAGGCAGGGCTCCATGCACTCCAGCTGGTCACTGACATAGAGGGTGACATACCCTCCTCATCTCCCCTGCTTGTCCTCCTTAAGGAGCCTGTATCCTTCCATTCCAACACTCCAGTCATAGGAGCCATCCCACCATGTCCCCGTGATGCCAGTAAGATCACAGTCCTGCAGATGTGTGCACATCTCAAGCTCCTCTTGTTCATTCCTCTTGCTACGTGCATTTGGACAAAGGCACTGAAGTTGAGCCCCTGGTGATTCTGCTTTATTGCCTGTAATTCCTTTGTGCTGCTCTTCAGGTGCTCTCCTGCTGACCTGGCATCAAACTGGTAGGAGTGGGATGGATTGAGGTTCCCCTCCCCCAGCAACTTTAAACAAAGGCTTTTGTGAAGGGGACCTAATAGTAGCCTTTCAATATCACCAAGAAAGTCATAAAGAAACTTAGCCAGACGCTTTACAGCAGTCTATAGTTGAAGGATGAAAACCAACAGACAGATACTGGATCATGAGTTACTCTAACTGGTTATAAGGAAAAACTTTTTCACTAGAACAGCTGAACATCAGAACAGCTTGCCCAGAAAAGCTGTGCAGTGTCCAGGCTTGGAGACTTGCAACCAGACTTGATAAAGCCTGAGCAATGCAGTCTGATCTCAAACTATCTTTCCTTTAAGCAAGAGATTGAAGAGACAGACCTTTTGAGGTCTCAAGTCCAATCTGAGTTACGCTATGATTCTATGAACAAGCTTCAAGTCTCAGATTTACCATCATTCATCCAACTACTCAGATGAATGAGTAACAAACTGAGTGTTGACAGAAGTCATACCTAGACAGGGACAGGACTTTGAAATATGGACAAAGAACCACCAAGATACAGGGGCAAGTATTCAAATGTGTTTTGTCTAAATGCATTCATTCTTTGAATTGTGTACCAAGAAAATATACGGAGTAAGATCTGAAGTGTGACATACACCACATGTAAACTTGTTAAATAAAAAACAAGAGACAACAACAACTAGAGGACTGCACAGGACATCAGCCAGTGATGGCATGATTCTAGAAACTAAAGCCTCAAGTACAACCTTGCCATGGCTCCAGCATATTTCATGAGAGGAGATACTGCTCCTTTCAAGTTGCTACAGTGGTTGAGTAGGCTTAGCATGAACTATCAATGCCATTAGAATAACAGATATTCTAATACCACACACCTAAAAAATGTAACCATTTCATATAAATCATGACCTAATCTCTTCAGTCTTCTAAAGCAAAGTGGAATAACAGTATCTTAGAGACATTTAAGTTAGAACTGGTTGTTCTCCTCAGTGGTGTCACCATCTCGTATCACAAACATTTCAGAGATTTGCACATCATTTTGCAAGCATGGATAATTAGGTCTCTTTTAGAAGGCTGCAAAGCAACACTACTATGGAATACTGTCAGGTTCTCTATAATAATCCTGTATTTTTTATATGTATCTGAACACGGGGCTGGGAAAAGAAAGACTATGATGAATAATGTTACTACATCACCAGTCAGGATGAGGCTTTAGGGTTTTATAGAAGTAATAATGAATGCACTTAAAATTAGTAAATGCTGTACATAAAAATTAAAGCAGTAGCTGGAATAAAAAAGTTAACAGCTCAATTGAAACTTCTATTTCAAGCTAAAGCAGCTTTTTTTTTCCCCAGCAAAAGACAAAAATGATCTTACCTTATCTAGCCTCTTTTGCCAGCTTTCTTCACGTTTTACCATGAGTTCAATACAATGAGAAAGTGTAGCAAGGATTCCAGCAGTAGTTGCCTTGAAAGTTATAGCTTCTCCTTTAAAGTCTATGCCATTAATGCCTTTGGGTGTCACATGCGGAAACACTAAAAACATACATGAAACATTCACTGACAGCTGCCTTTAACTCAAACAAGCATTTTACATATATGTTTTATATTAGAAATGTTTGAAGAAAACAGACTGTCTAGAAAATGAATTTTAAAATAGAAATAAAAAGTCCTAATAATTTTCAGCTACCCACAGGATAAGGAAAAAAATTCAAAAGAAGGAACACATCTCTTCAGCTTCATCTTGCTATACTGTATTTCAAGTGTGCTTGTAATGGTGCATTACTCTGCACTCTGCAAATCATGTGGGTGGAGGGAGTGGTAATACCTTGTAACAATAGCAGTTTGACAGCTTGAAGTGCGGCCTAATTAACACAGAGCAACCTTAAAACATATATCTAATACAGCACTAAGAAAGAACAAAATCAAAATGCAACCAAACCCAAAATGTAACATTCAAAGTTGCTTTAAGCAGGTAATTATAGATTCGAAGTAAAAAGGTATAAGTATCAAGTGTGTTGAATTATCCAACTACTGTGGGTTTTGCAGTTCTAACTACTTCATGCTGTCAACGAAGCCATCTGTTGCTAAGGCTATTTAAACAAGTCATTAAAATGTGTGACAGAAAAAGTACCTACTTTATGTCAAACTCATATGTAGGTTGACATAACAACAAATTCAACATTACACATTAATGTCCGAAAATATTAGAAAGCACAAGTAACACTATATCGAAGCTGACTGAGCCCAGCAAGATAAGATAAAATAACTCAGGCTATGCCATGCAGCAAGCTAATGACTTACCACCTAGTTGGATATTCCGCACCCCCCCCCCCCCCCCC